CCCCAAAACCCCAAAACCCCAAAACCCCAAAACCCCATAAGTGGATATTTTACAAAAATTTGAAGAAGTATCTAAAGTAGTTAGCATTAATTATTTACTGTGTCAAGAATCAGAATTACGGAAATTGGGTTGTTCATATTATATGAATACGTCAGTCACTCTTAATGATAGTTTCTTATTATATAGGTTTCTATGTTCAAATCCAATCCTTAATTCTAATGCTAGTTATAGTGCATACGTATTCAAATTATTTGATCAGTTCTATTCAAATCAATCAGATGACCATAGGAAATATGAAAGAAGCAATTCTATCAAAGTGCACAAAGCCCAAGTTAGCGATGAAGAAACCAATCATACCGCCGGCTAAGGTATCGCCAATATAGTGGCATTGATAGTATATTCTGCCGAGGGCAACGAGAGGGACCATAAACATGACTGTCTGACTTTAGAAGAACAAATTCATCAGTCCACACCAGAGAGCTGCTTGAGCTGTGTCTCCACTTGGCATTGAAAGTGTTCCCTTTTCAATATCAGTGAGGTTAATCTTTCTTGCAACCCTGAGAGCAGATGGTCTGTTTCTTCTTATGAGCCTCTTCAGAGTCTGAGTGGTGAAGAGTAGAATAAGCAGCAAGAAGGTGTTGAAAATGAGCCAGAACAAACTTAAGCTTAATTTGTTCCCTCCGTTCTCCTCCAACTTGCTGGCATACTTCTGAGAGTGATTTGTCATCAGAATAGTTAGCTTTTCAGGTTGTTGAGCTGCCAATGCGCATGTTATGAAGATAGGGATGAAGCAGTAGAGGCGGTTGAAGATCGTGCCAAAAGCCACTATCAGATATTCAAAATGAGGCAATTCTGCTTGATGAATGCAGCGACTTAACTTTCTATCCTGCAAGTCCAAATACTTAATCAAATTGAAGCCTCTTGGCTTTTATGGTGCCTGTGAAGCATTGATACTGGATCTGTTGTAGTCCTAAGTGGGTTATTAGTCAGCATTTGAATCTAAGTGATTGCTCTCTTGATTAGTCGAGATTAGACGTTGTTTAGTTTGATATGAGTCTTTTATCATTATATTAATTTATATTTATTATATAATTGGATGTTAGGGATAAAATTTATTCAATCAATTCAATAATTGCTATTATTCTTACTTCTACACATTATTCAATTCTTATCATTACAATCAAATGAAATCTCTTTAGAGCAACTCTCACTCATAGTCTGAGTCATCATGATTCTAGGGCATGACTATTGGCTATAAAACTTATCTGTTCATGATGCGTTTTTGAATAGTGATCTTTGGCACAAAAATTCTTTCATCTCTGCAAGCTGTTTACCTCCCAGACTCCACATTTTCAACTAAGAAGTTATCATAAACCTTGATCTTCATCTGCGATTTAGATAGCACAGGTTCCAGTTAAGTCTTTTCTTCAATATACTTCTTCAAAGTCTGGTTTTGTCTGGTAAAGCAGCCTGTCTCCTAAGTTCTTCCAGTATTGCTTAGATTTTGAAATGCTAAACCTTCCTGCTATGGATAGCAGTCTTCTTCATTGTAGAACTAATTATCCTATTAAATGTGGATCCCATGGCCTTTCCTTTTTGCATATTTTTTAGACAATTGGATAGTTCTCATCATAATTTATGGTTGATTCTAATCAGAAATACTCAAGTTCTCTATGCTGAGTCCATTTAATTCATCAATCTTAGAGTAGTCATAGTCGTAGCGCTTCTTGGAGCTGTTCCACTTTGTTAGAGATTCAAAGTGAGTGTTGGTGCTTCGATCCTCAGTGGGAACAATCGATCCTGCCTCAGTCTATTAATTTTGTTTACTATTATTGGATCTTTAAAGTGACTCATTTTACATTTATTGCTATTGTTCAACTTAATTCTTATGAAGATACTACATGATGCTTGGATCATAATGTTTGTTTCTGGAGTGATTGCTCTTGCATATAATAACGCTTTGATTACTGGAGGATATTTGCAATCGTGAAATGCATTCTTTCTTCTCTTTGCTAGCCTCTCTTTCAGCACTTTATTAGTTCTTAATATACTCTAGTTTACTTCTGGCTTTGCGAGCTGCTAGTTTAAATAGTTAATTCTCGGTAATACTGGGTATATTTTAAGAGTTCTATAGCTATTTTACTGAGGGTAGAGTTGGTTTTTAGCCAATGAATAGGTTTTCAGGCTAGAAATCTCTCCTCGTCAGATTGGGTAATCGCAAGAGTCCTTACTTCTTTCTCTTGTAAATGTTGGTTTTATCCAAACGAGACTAGCTTAAATGAGACAAGCTTGTAGGGGAAGGTTCTTGATAACGATTGATTCATTGCTTAATCTCCCTTTCTCATTCTTATATGGCATTTTCCTCTTTTAAGATTTTTCTAAGTGTTTCATTCATAAATGTGCTGTTGCATTAGTATTTAGACTCTTATGGTTGTAACTACTTCTCAGCTTTGCTTACTTCTCTAACTGGCCTAATTTTAGTCTTGAATTACTCGAGCAGACTAAGATTCAAACGAGATCTGTTATCAAATGAGAATTATATACTCATTTTAATGTCGATTTGTTATTTATATTTATTTTGTAAAAAAAGAGTTGATCATATAACATTATTCTCTTTTGTGGGGTTTTGGGGTTTTGGGGTTTTGGGGTTTTGGGG